TTACCCTAAACTAAATAGGATGAAAAAAAATCATATGTAAAAATGATCTACTGATAGTCCCGAAACCCTACTTATAAATGAATAATAAGTAATGTAGTCGATTGTCATAGCAAATATAAGATTGCTTTATCGAAGATCCCAGAACAGAATGTGATATGGAAAAAAGCCTGGCCCTCCTTGGAATTCGCATCTGCCCTCTGATCTAAAGGCACTAGTGGCAATGGGACATAGTTGTTAACCTTTTGAGATAATACGCTGTATTGTCATGGTTCTACTCCCGCTGAGGGTGTTGAAAAGACATATGAGGGGTCGAAACTGCAGTCCGCTCCAGTCTGAATGAGAAATTTAATGAAAGTATCTATTCTACCCATTTCATTGTGGAAAAATTAAACTACCATGACCTTAACAGCTTAAACGAAATAAAATGAATTCATTTCAAATAACTGACCTCTTGGTAGTCTCGAAACCATAATTATAAACAAAAAGCCTGAACGGCTACCTTTTCACGATAGTTGGATGATCACTTGCAGCATTTCTGGCCCACCAATAGCCTGTTCGATAGACAAAACCCTCGCTTAGGGTCAATTCATGGTCATCCTTAATTCTCCTGTAAACTTGGCATCCATCTTTTTAGCAAAAGCTGAGGAGATCATCAGTAAATGAGTTGATTTTATCCTATTTCATTTAAAGTGATTTAGAAATTAGTCGTTGTGGCAAATTCAACTACCTTAAAAGTAATAACTAGCCTCAACTATGCCAACCGCGTTAATGTAATAGCAAAATAACCTTCCATACCGGCAACTAACACTTTGGAGGTGGGTACGCCTAATATTGGCATACTTTTCTCTCAACTTGGTGTGTTGGCGTTTATGCCGTCTCGAACCGGCTTCCTCTGAACTCAGTTTCTTCGTGACCACTTATGCAAGATCATCATCCGAATTTTTCGTTTTCCAGTATTTTCTAAGACTTTCAGTTGATATAATATAAGTATTATAATCATTATTTTTCGTTTAAGGTGAGCAAGAAATGCTAGTTGAATCGACTCACAATCAGATGAATTGGCCTACAGTTTTACTTGGATTTCACATATCTTTAGTTGGGGTGAACGCAGTCCTTATTCAAGGCTAATATGTAGTCTCGAAAACCTACTTATAAACTAAAAATAAGTAGTGTAGTCGATTGTTATAAGAAATGCAACTTTGCTTCATCACAAATCGAACCACAGAATGTGATATGGTGAAATGCTTGATTTTTCTTGAAATGCACAACTCTTCTGTGATACAAGGGCACTTTTGAAAATGTGGCGTAGTGATCACACTGTACCACAACGTCCGAAGTTCGAGTCCCACTGGAGGTGCAGATAAGACCACTTGAAGCGAGATCAAAACTATAGAAACTTGAGACCTATTCATCAGATTGTGGAAAAATTCAATTGCCCATCCTTCATCACCTCAAACGAAATTGAGTGTACACAGTTCTCAGCAGCCATTCCGACCCTGTTGCCAGATGATGTGTTATGAAAGTGTGTTTAATGGTGGGCTTCAAAGGTCAATCTCACGAGAAGACGATGGCCAATTCCAGGCTCAGTACAACGCAAATCACACTTTCATACGAAATGAAAGTCTGCCCAACAATTTTATTTTGCCTAGCTGTGTTTGGTTGCCTTTTGCGTGTGCTCTAAAATTCTGAAAATAGTCTCCCGGACGTAAGTGAGACAACTCTTTTTTTCTCAATTTATGCTTCTAAATTTATCCATCCACTGTGTAGACACCCATCTTTTCCGTGGAACATTCATTAGCTTGACCAATCAGAAACCCCGTGCAAGGTTATCGCATTGATGCGGCTCCATCAAATGTCACTTTTCCTCCCCGTTCCTTTGAACCATCACACTGGGAATGGTAGTCACACACGCACGCACACATTAACATGCACACGCAGAGTGAGTGAGAGAGAAGACAGAGAATAGATTTAGAAGTACGTATTCGCATGTGTAGACAAGCAATGTAACTCGAAGTTCATTTCGGAAGAAATATTTGTTTTTAAAGAATTGAGGAATTTTCCGGCGCCGCCAACCGCCTCAAAATCAACGGAAAATCTCCAAATTCTTCTCATTTCAAATGTAAGTAACTGTTTTTAACAGTAGGCTTTCGAGACTACCAGTAAATTGTCATTAAAAACTGTGCACATTCTTGAAAATTTAGGGTGATTTAGATCGGGTAGTCTGATTTTCCCTTCAAGCAAATGAGAAGGTTTCAAGTTTACAAAAGTATTCTCATCCTGACTGGACTGGACGGGACTGGAATTCAGTTTCTACTTCGTCTCGACGGATCTCATCAGCACTCTCAGCGGGAATCGAACTCTGTTCGTGGAAGTGCAGATCTTTATTTTTGACAAGTTAACCACCAGACCACACTATTACACGTGAATTTCTAGTAAAGCTTGATCTTATCCATGTCACCTTATTTGGTAGGACTGTTGATAAGGCAAAGCTGTATTTACCATTACAATTAACTATGCTACTTATTTTAATTTATAAGTAGGGCCACGAGGCCACAAGCACATTTTGCATAAGAACTGTATTCACTCCTTTCCACTGACCACGCTGGAGACGCTGATCAGACCAGTTCATACGAGGTCGAGACTGCAGTACAGTCCATGTGAGCTGAGAATACCTTTTGGGAAGCGAGGCTATTGAAACTCGACGCCTGCACATGAGATTGTGGGAAAATTAAAATGCCATTCTTCTTCCTCACCTGAAATGAAATCGGGTGAACGAAGCTCGTAGAAGAGCAACTTTGTCGACTGTGGTGCGTAAACCATATCGACCCTGCTTCCATGTTTTGTTGCCAAGGCAAAAGAAGAGCGTCATGTCGCGCAAATCGGAGGCTTTTGTTTTTCCAAAAGCAGATACCCGCTTTGGCGGATCTAATCGTTACGGCCAACTAGCTCTACTGACAGCATTTAAGTAGTGCCACCATCACCGTATTTCCTTAAGGCCTGTGAGCAAAGTCAGACTATCCATCTATCAATCAGACTATATACCACTCCACTTAGCTACCTTTGCATAGCTCAATCTTTCCATTTGTTTGTTTAACTATACACCAATCTATCCACAGCAACAATATGCTAAACCAAATTTTTTTTCATAAATGAGTAGGTTTTCGGGACTACTCGTAAATCGTCGATTGCTACAGCAGGCATAAGTTTGCTTCATCGACAATCCCAGCAGAGAATATGCGATGGAAAAGGCCTGGCCTTGCTTGAAATTCACAGCTGTCCTGTGAGCCAAGAGGGGCACTCTTTGCAATGTGGCCGAGTGGTTAGGGTGCCAAACTCACAGGTTGCACTTTCACGGTTCGATTCTTGCGGGGTGTGTTGATAAGACCAGTTGAGGCGAGGTTGAAACTGCAGTCGACTCCGGCCGGGATGAGATCAACTTTTGGAAAAGGAAATCATTGTGAAATTGAATGGAAACATCACCTCTCCTCATCAGATTGTGGGAAAATTATACTACCAGTTGTTCATCAGCTTACACGAAATATAGTGAATACATGTCATACTACTGATTTACTGGTAGTCTCGGAACTTCACTTTAAAAAAAGAAAAACAACTTTTGGGAAAGCAAATCTTTGTGAAATTGAATGGAAACATCACCTCTACTTATCAGATTGTGGGAAAATTCAACTACCAGTCCTTCATCACTTTAAACTAAATAGGATAGATACATGTCATACTACTGATTTACTGGTAGTCTCGAAACTACACTTTAAAAAAAGGAAAAAAATCTTTTGGGAAAGCAAGGCTCTGTAAAATTAAAAGAAAACATCACCTCTACTCATCAGATTGTGGGAAAATTCAACTACCATTCCTTCATCACTTTACACGAAATAGGGTGAATACATGTCATATGTCTGTCCTTTTGTTTGTCACGTTCGAGTCCCGTTTAATGCCACAGCCTGCCTTCTTCCTCCATCTTTTCGCCCGGCAACCGCGCGTCCGCCGAGATAGCATCTAAACCAACGGGCCAATCGACACGTAATGCCGTTGACGGCCTCCGCTGCTGGGGTCTCTGGCTCGAGTCCCGCGGCCCACTCGAGCCTGGTCGGCGGCAGCCAAAACGCTGGTCCGTCGCGGAGTGGGCAAAAGGAGGCAAGCGAAGCGGCAAGTCGCCAGTCCTACTTGACGGAGCGCATCGCTCCCGCGAGTCCCGCGGCCGCAGGAGGGGCGATCGTCGGGACCGGGTCTTCCGGCGGTGGTTCGATCACGTTGCCGAGTGGTTCGCGTCCAAACTGTCTGCAGACAGGGCCACAGCAACAGCAGCCTCCGCGACAGAGCAGCATCTTCGCGCAGATGGACCGGCAGTCGATGCAGTTGGACAGTCAAGGGACGAGTCAGCTCGAGGGGGTCGCCATCGAGAACCGAGCGTCCAGAGTGAGTGTGTCGGAGTGCGGAAGAAGTGGAGCTCCAAGGCTCTCGTAATGGATGGGTGTGGCGGAGAGGTGTCATTTCGTGTCAAGTGGCGAATGGGTTGGACTCGTCGGTT